CTTCATTGCCTCTATTTCAGTTTTCAATTCTTGAACTGTTTCCATTACCTGTTTGATTGCTTTTTCTTGGTTTCCCAGGGTATCATTCACGGATTTACTCATTTCTTCAAACTTTTTGTTATACTTCTCATCCAATTCTTTAAGGGAGTTAGCTATTCATATCCTGTTTAAGGGACTCTACTGCTTTCATAATGGCACTTTTTCCCACTTCTTCTGGATTAAGGTGTTCAAGTCCTTCTACTGTAGGGTAGTTGGGGTCTGGTGTTTTCTTGTTGTTTTTCAGATTGTTGTAGGATTTCTTGCCTTGGCGTCTGCCCATCTCTTCCTTCAAATGCTCTCTATTGGATCTTCTGATATCAGGTCAGGTTCCCTTATTGGGCAGGGACTTCACTGACAGAAGGCCTACCTTTCCTCAGGCAGGCTATTGAAACCCAGGGACTGCCTCCTTCTGGGTTGTGCTTCCCACCCAGACCCAGTGTGCAAGGGAACTGAGCTGGGGAAATTTTATGGCCCCAGGGGGAAGGGAGAAAAATGGAAGGTGTACCTGGATGAAAGCTGGAGTTGGAGGCAGGAGAGGTTAGCAGGGTGGAGCTACCACTGCAGGGTGACCAGGGTGTCACGGGGGATGGGGAAAGTCTGAACTCCTCCTAGCCGGGCTTCTGCCGCGGGCCGGGAGCAAACCCATCCCTCCAATGTATGTCCACCAGGGGTTCAGTGCCCCTTGCTGGCCAGAGAAGAAATGTTTTGAAGTAAATCCTGACTAAAGAGTCTGAAATCTACTCTGTGTGGTGTTTTACCACATTTCATAAAAAGTCATGGAGAAGCAAAATAGACTATGGTGGTTGTTAACATAAGGAAAACAGACAATATCAAAACATTCACTGTAGGTTAATAACAATATATAACTATTTAAAATTTTGTGTTTGCCAAACTTCACAAGTTTAAAAATATTATTTAAAATAATTGAAACAGTTAATTTACAGTAAAACGGGTCATATGTGAAAAAAACATGAAATAAAATGGTGAAGAAAATTAAGGAATTTAAAGAAGAAATAAATATTAATTTAAGACTTCAATTCTACAGTTTTAGAATGAAAAGAATATCCATACAAATTATCATCTTGAATAGCACCATATATTAGCAGGAACTATTACAAATATATAGAGTATATTTTGAATTTATTTATTTATTAATTAAAAATTTCCACCTCCTCCCATCCTCCCATTTCCCTTCCACTCTCTCCACTCCCTCTCCCCCTCACTCTCCAGTACTAAGAGAAGTCAGGGTGCCCTGCCCTGTGGTAAGTCCAAGGCCCCCCCTCCATCCAGGTCTAGGAAGGTATGCATCCAAACAGACTAGGCTCCCAAAAAGCCAGTACATGCAGTAGAATCAAAATCCAGTGTCATTATCGTTGGTTTCTGAGTCCGCCCTCATTGTCAGCCACATTACAGAGAGTCCGATTTGATCACATGCTCGCTCAGTCCCATTCCAGCTGGCCTTGGTGAGCTCCCATTAGATCAGCCCCACCGTCTCCATGGGTGGGCACACCCCTGCGGTCCTGACTTCCTTGCTCATGTTCTCCCTTCTGCTCTTCATCTGGGCCTTGGGAGCTCAGTCCAGTGCTCCAGTGTGGGTCTCTGTCTCTATCTCCATCCGTCGCCAGATGAAAGTTCTTTATCAATGGCTTCTCAGTCATCCCCTATTATCAGCCACAATCAGAGTCCGGTTTGATGACATGCTCATTCAGTCCCGGTCCAGCTGGATTTGGTGAGCTCCCATTAGAACAGGCACACTGCCTCAGTGGGTGGACCAAGCCCTTGTGGTCCAGACTTCCTTGCTAATCTTCTCCTTCCTTCTGGTCTTCAATTGGACCTTGGGAAGATCAACTCAATAAAATCAGTAGCCCTTTTGAATTTATTTTTAAGTTATTTTCTGTGCTTGAGTATTTGCTTTGAATGTGTATGTGTGTACCTGGGCTCAGAGGACATCAGAAAAGGATATTGGATTCCTGGGAGCCAGAGTTGCAGACGATTGTGACCTGTTATGTGGAAATTTAACTGTTGTCCTCTGGAAGGACAGCTAGTTCTCTTAGCTGCTGAACCAACTCACAAGACCCAAGTGTTCCGTCCAACAAGAGCAGGGCACATATTCTCTAATGCACAAAGCAAATTCCTTGCCTTGCTTTGTGCGTTAGACAGCACACAGACAAAAGAACCCCAGTAACTTTCAAAACCTTAAATTAACACAAATAACTTTTGTCACAGTGGGATGAGATAGAAATCAACAGTCTATAAAAACAGACAAAACACTATAAAATAAGCAGTGAGGCTAAGGGAAAAATCAAGAGGAACATTTGCAAATATTACATATCAAGGAAATGATATGCAATATCAAAACAAAACAGAGGGGAATAAGGGAGGACAATGAAACCAGACTTAGGTGAAATTTGTAGCCGTTATTTTCATCATTAGTACAGACAAGGTATTTGAAATTGATAACCTAACCTATCTGTGCCAGTATTAGGCACAGATAGTGAATAGAAAACTAAGCAGGCTGCTAACAGAAAGATGGTATTAAAAGAATCACAGTGTAGGTAACTGAAACAATGACTCGAAAAAGATTTAGAATCAATGCAAACAAAAGAGTAGTACGCTGACAAACCAGTAGAGTAACTGAGAAAATAAATAAGAGAGAGTAATAAAATAATTAAATTATGAAGTGAAAAAAATTACCTAATATTACTTAAAACAATAAAGATAATTAGGAAATTAAACAAACATGGTTTATCATCAAAATAGTTATCCTACATGAATGGAAAATTGTGTATGCATGTCTGCTAACACAACTGACTCGAGAACAAATAAAAATCTTAAACTTTTGGCATTTAATTAGACTGAAACAATAATAAAATCTCTCATTAAGGAAATCTAACTTAACACGAGTTAACTGGTGAATTAAATGAAACACTTAAGAATTAATGTTGGGGGGGTGTTTGTTCTCGTCTGCTCATCCCTGAAATAATCACTCAGACACTATATTATTTAAATTACTGCTTGGTAAATCACTTATGTGTATTGCTAGCTTGCTCTTACATCTAGTATTAACCCATTTCCATTATTTTATATTTTACCACAAAGCTCATGGCTTACTGACAAAGTTCTGGCTAGCAGCTTGCATCTTTCTCCTCTGGTGGCTTCATGGCATCTCCTTGACATTGCTTACTCTCTGCTTACATCTTTTCTTGCCTGGCTATATTCTGTTAAGTCATTGGCCAAAAGTAGCTTCTTTATTTATTAGCCAACTAAAACAGCACAAATATAGAAGGACTTCCCACACCGTTTCCCTTTTTTATATTTAAATAGAAAGGAAGTTTTTAAGTTTAACACAGAAAAATTACATATAACAAAAACAGTTATCAAGCAAGGATTATAGTTATAATATTTATATCTACTTTTATTTTTTATCATAATTAGGGAAAACTATAATTATAACTATTCTTTAACTCCATCAAAGACTCCAGAACAATATATTACCTAAGTTAACAGGAAGGGCATTGTAAGCAACTTCCAAAACTCTAGAATTGACAGAGATATCTCGCTGCTTGGACAGTCACTGAAAGTTCTGTATCGTTGGGGCATCCATCTGCAGCCTACAGGCCCATAGTATCCAATGGCACTTTCCATGATGCAGGAAATTTCAAAGACAGTTTTGCCTATATTGTCAGTTTGTCAGTCACATTTTTCTGTGTCCTGCAGAATGTCTTGCAGACATTCTGTGTCCCGAAGAATGCTCTTGCCTTTAGGCAGGTTCAGCAATCATTTCTCTGTGGGTCTTGTATGTCCAGTTCATACAGCATAGCATCAAGCAGTCCAGGAAAGAGCAGTTTCTTGCCCAAATGGCTCACCAATGCCATAAGAAACCTCTTCTATGCCCATTATCCATTTTCTTGAAGTAATGGATCACTCACTAGATCACTTATCTAGTGATCTTGAAGTACTAGATCACTTATCTAGAAGATTGGTGCTTCTAAGAGCAGATGTGTCTCACTGTCATGAAATTTCCTGAGTTTTTAAAACATTTTAAATGCCATATTCTATAGGTCTTTGAAAGGTTTGAAGATTATCTAACTAAACTACATCTTTATATATCTAGAAAACCTAACTAACATGACTATAACCTTGACTATTATGGATGACTCTCTATTAACCTATATTTCATAATTACACATTACATTTTAAATGAACTGCACAGGCACAATACCTTAATCAAGAGCAGAAATATATATACATTTATACATACACACATATATATATAAATATATATAACAAAATTGATCTTAAATTTGTATCAACAAACCAAGATCCATACCAATGCAAAATATTCATCTGTCTACAGCATATCCCCCTTTAAACAATCATTTATAAACAATAATTTAGGGAATTTGGGTTTAGTTCTCTCCAAACTGCTTCCTCTATAAATATTGGTGGTGGTTCCACAGGAAAGGAGACTTCTCAACCCATTCTATAAATCTATCATTACCCCGTAACCAAAGCTAGAAAACAACACCAGAAGAGAAGACATTATACATCACAGAAGATGAAAAAATGTTGCGTATTATATTTCTAGAATTAAAAAAGAATACAAATCATATTAAAATATTTAGGAGGGGACTCAAGTTATTAAACCAAAAATTGCCCTAACACTCAGTTTACTCCTGACCTTATACTTCCAGAAGTAGTAATCTGTTACTCAAATCAAATTTTGTATGTGCATTTGCTTAGGAGAGCAATTCATAAGACCCCAGTGGCGAAGAGAGGGCTGCCAATCAATGCAATCAGTACTCAGAGCAGAGCTTGGGTCGATGAAGGGCATTTTATCATATAGAACACAAGAAAATAAAAGTAAAGGTTTATTAAAGTTCAGGACTGATTTTGTGTCATAGCTACCTTGTCTTTTGTAAACCATTTCTTTTGCCTACTTTCCTTTATGATTTTTCTAGGACTTGGAGGATTTTATCTCTAAGTTTGGAGACTCAGGTTTTGTTCTTGTGGCCCTGGGCTCCTTAGTAACCCTGCATCAGACGAAGGAACTTATTAAGGAGATGAACAGTGCCTTTGCTCGCCTCCCTCAAGGGGTGCTATGGACAGTTAAGGATGACCATTGGCCCAAAGATGTGAGATTGGCCCCAAATGTCAAAATCATGGATTGGGTTCCTCAGGATGACCTTCTGGGTAAGCATCCCAAGACCTGCTACTTTATTCCTGTGTTTGTGCTTATGGGACTTAGTAGATGATGGATGTTTGAATATTTGGATTGGCAGAAGAAAAAGGCTGCTGATAGGTAAAGATAGATCTCACACAGGCAAGCAAAAGCAATTAGAGTTCTTGGGGCAATCAGTCTGTGATCTAGACATGTGATAGCAGCAACTTCCTTTTCCTTCCAAACTCGGACAGGTCTCAAGGTCCTAAATAGATATGTACCCTTGACATAACAATATTTAACACTGATCACTCCAATACAATCTTGAACAATATGTGAACTTAGATACTCCTTAGGGAAGTTGCCACGATTCTCACAATGATGTGAGAACTTTTCAGCATTTTAAAAATACGAATATAAACATAAGAATGCAGACACATTTTGATAGTTGCCAAAGGACTAAAAACTCAAGAAGCTTACATTGATGTTGGGGGACTGAGGATATAGGAAGCTATTTGATTGTCAACTCAAGTAACCTCAGAGTATGATATGAATTTTTTTTTGTGCAACAGAGAATTCCCCAAAGCCACATCACCTCAAATTATTTGTTTTTGTGTGACTTTTTGAGAACTCATCACTTCCACACACAATGACTGAATCAAAATTTTCTACCCAAAATTGTGACTAAAAAGAAGCTGGGAAATTTTTCACATAGATCTACATTCAGTAAAATTACAGGCTATACAACAGAGAATGGACTTTATTTCTTGGGATCTTTGGCAGATTTTGTGTGAGGTATAGTTTGGGATCATTTCTTTATGATCATAAGAAATGTATGGTTGCTTTCAATATGGAGTGACAGATAAGATTGGTAAATACAGAAGTGTCTAATATATCATCAACTTTTGTTAGTTTCTCTTAAAATGGAGGAGATAATACATAGAATACAAGCTTAGTAAGAAGTCAGATGTTGAAAGCAAAAGAAGATAGAGGCAAGAAATTTAAAAAAAGAAGCATCAATAGAGAAGATGAGGATGATCAAAAGGACAGAGAAACATGCTTGTTTTGTTCCTCTCTTTATAGCTGTCACTGGGTTCTATGTACTTGATAGTTTTGCACTGAAGTAAGGCATCCTTCTGTAGAGGGAAGGCTGGATATCATATCCTAGAACAATGCAAATCTCAATATAAGGAACAGTATATCCATTATGTCCAGTACATTGGTATTTCTTGGGTCTGTTGCTTTACCTGGTATCTGAAACTTCAGAGTGAAATATTGGATCCTTTTTTTCCTTTTGCAACAGCTCATCCTAGTATTCGACTTTTTGTCACCCATGGTGGAATGAATAGCATCATGGAGGCCATCCAGCATGGAGTACCCATCGTGGGAATTCCATTTTGTACAGACCAACCTGAAAACATGATCCGAATAGAAGTTAAGAAAATTGGTGTTTCTGTTCAGCTAGAGACAATCAAGGCAGAAACATTTGCACTTACCCTGAAAGAAGTCATAGAAGACAAGAGGTATGCAGCTCTCTGGTGTTGGGATCCTTTAGGTTGAATGCAAGCCTAGCCTAAGGGGTCTGTGTAGTTTGTTTATCAATGAAACCAGAATTTCGTGGGGTGTGGTAAAATGAAGGAGGAGGAAGGCTGCTTGTAATTCCCAGCCTCTCAGATAGCTTAGACCTGAAATAATCACACAGAAATTGTATTAATTAAATCACTGCTTGGCCCATTAGCTCTAAGTTCTTATTGTTAACTCTTACATCTTAATTTAACCCATTTCTATTAATCTGTGTATCACCATGTGACAGTGGCTTACCAGCAAAGTTTCAGCAATCTGACTCTGGCAGCAGCTCCATGTGTCTCTCCAACTCTGCCCTTGTTTCTCCCAGCATTCATTCAGTGTAGCTTTCCCCGACTACCTCAGTTCTGTCTTTCTATAGGCCCAAAGCAGTTTCTTTATTCATTAATGGTAATCATAACATACAGAGGGGACTCCCACATCATCTCCTATTTTCTGTTGAAATAAAAAGAAGGCTTTATCTTTAACATAGTAAAATTACATACAACAAAACAGTTATCTATAACACGAGGGCCCACTTGTTGAAGTTTATGCCCTGCCCAGTTCCCCACAACCAGTATGCCCCAAAGAAAATCACACAGAGTCTACATTAGGTTATAAATTATTGACCCATTAGCTCAGTCTTCTTATTAACTCTTGTAGCTTATATTAGCCCATTATTCTGATCTATGTTAGCCACATGGCTTGGTACCTTTCTCAGCGGTACCAATTTCTTTGGTGGTCTGGGCAGGAGTGGGGAAAGAGCTTCCTTCTTCCCAGAATACTCTTGTTCTCATCGCCCCACCTCTACTTCCTGTCTGGTTGACCCACCTAAACTTCCTGTCTGGCCAATCAGCGTTTATTTACAACATGATTAACAGAATACAGATAATTCTCCCATACCAGTTGTCAATCAAGAATTACAGTTGTATATATTTTTTCTTTTATCATAATTAAGGAGAACTATATTGTTACTATCTATTCTTCAACTCCATCAAAGACTCCAGAACAATATAATATCACCTAAGTAAACAGGAAGTACATTGTAAGCAAATTCCAAAACTCTAGAATTGACAGAGACATCTCACTGCCTAGTCATCCAAAGATTTTTTGTATCATTGGGGCATCCATCTTCAGCCCATCTTCCTCTTGAAGTAACTGGTGCTGTCAGGAGTAGACATATCTCAATGTCATGAAAAGTAGTAAGCTCTTAAACATTTTAAATGCCATATTCTGAAGTCTCTGAGAGATTTAAAGAATACCTAACTAACTGAAATATATCTCTATATATCTAGAAAATTTAACTAAGATGACCACAAGCTTGACTATTAAAGATTATTATCTGTTAACCTATATTTCTTAATTATGCAATGCATTTTTAAGTGAGCAGCACAAACACCTTAATCAAGAGCAGAAATATAAATATAAGAGAATTGACCTTAAATTTGTGTCAATAAACCAAGATCCATACCAATGCAAAGTATCCATCTCTATAGCATATCCTCCTTTAAATGTAAACAAATATTTATAGACAATATTTGGGAATATGAGCATATCTTTATCCAAGCTGCTTCCTGATGATTGTTGGGCTTAGTAATTTTTGGGAGTGTTCACGGAGACCTTTGTGGGGATCTTGTTCAATCAAACCATAACAGTCTGGAAGCAATCCACAGATTTTCATCCTCTGTGGAAACAAGAGAAGACTCTCTTTTCCAAAGCAATATATCCTTAGAACCATATTTTGAATTCAAGATACCTTTAAAACATATATATTGGCTTAGTTTAGCAGACCATACAATGAAATGTCTCTCTATACTTATCTCCTTTACAGTCAAAAATGCAAAGAAAACAAAATAATATACATAATCTAGACTCTCTGTGAATTTTCCATCTTTATGTATCTTGTTTTTACTCTATTACTTTTAATATTTATTTTATTATCTTTACTTCTTTAATCTCTGACTGTCTGTACTCTGTCTCTTTAAAGACTTTACCTTTTTTTAAAAAAAAATACTGCTTTTTATAACTCTCCATGCTTCTTTTCTTCTCTCCCCCCAAGCCTATGTACATTTTTAAAACACACTATATCTCTTTTAGGGGTCTTTTTCATCTGGATATTTATTGCATATTGTTTTTATTGCATATTTATAATTCTTTACTTTCCAGGAGCACTTTTCAAAATGCTAAGCACTTCCTAAAACTTAAGTTGCACCATTACTTTGGTATGTATGGTACTTTATGCTTGCCTACCCAGTCTAGCATGGCAGAGCTGATAGCGCTTTTGAAAGCCATGCACACCGCCCCACTTTCAGGCACACAGCCAGTCCACATTGCCATCAAGCAAGCCGTAGCACGCTGCTCACAAACTCCATCCAAATGCTCTGTCTCCCATGACGTGTACGCACTTAAGTGTGTATCGATACATTTATGTATGTATAAAGTCTCAAATGTGCACAGCACATTGGTAACACATGTTCTCTGTGTCTGTCCATAGGTACAAGACTGCAGCAATGACTGCCAGGGCCATCAGGCGCTCCCACCCCCTCACACCGTCCCAGCGTCTGGTGGGCTGGATTGACCACATCCTACAATCAGGGGGAGGAGCACATCTAAAGCCCCATGGCTTTCAACAGCCATGGCATGTCCAGTACCTGCTGGATGTCCTGTTGTTCCTGCTGGGGCTCACTCTGGCCACCTTGTGGCTGTTGAAGAAAGTGCTGAGCTTGTTGCTCAGGACTCTGTGTGTGGCTAGGAAGAAAAAGAAGGCATAATGTTAAGTTTGACCTGGGGAAGACATTGGGAGCTCTGTCTCTTTAAAGGCTTCCCCGTTCCCTAGCACAAGGAACTCCCAGGGTTCTCCTCTTTCCTTCTTCCTGCTGTGGACCTCCAGTTGTCCTCACTATTTCTGCTTTTTTCATAATCCTCATACAGTACATTGACTGACTGGTGACTCCTCATTCCCTGGCTCTTTTTGCTCTAGTACCAACCTTCCTTTCTCAGCCTTTGTTTCTCTTCAATCATTTTTGCCATTAACAGCGTTATGAGAGTGTCATCCTCTTTGTGACTTCTAGTCTCTGACTCTTACTCCTCCAATTGTTTTAGATAAAAAACCCACATATTTACAAATTTCACTTACTCCTATATTTTTCTTGTCTTTTAGCCTCTCTTTAGAGTTCAGAATATTTGTCCAGTTTCAGGATTCAATATGAACAAATTTTACCAACAATGACAACATATGAATACAGTAGATTATTTTTCTTAATAAAATCAAAATTAAAGTTCATAGAAAATTGAAGTGTTGTGAGAAATATGTTTCTTGTGACTGATATGATAGATATATTTTCTTATGTCAGAGAAATTAAAATAAAAAACAGGAACTACAGTCTATCCACTTTTGGAGTAACAACTATGTGCAAAGCAGAATAAACCAGAGATTTATAAATTGATACAGAATGAGCTTCACTGCTGTTAAGTAAGAAGATATAAAGAGAAGTGATAAATATTGACTGTCCTATTTTTTAAGATAGTGAAAGTTGAGCAACAGCAAGAAATACGTGGCCACTCTTAATAAAACATTCATTATCCTTGAAAGCAAGTGTACATGGGACATTTCATGCGGCGTCATCTGCAGTGCGGATGAGGAACACATGTCACAACTCATGTTACACACACAAGCCAGAATATAAGGTGTGCTTATAAAATAATAAAATAAAATATACACAGAAACAAATGCAGCTCTTTTCATTGGCATTTTTATAATGATGAAAAGCATGAAAGAACCTAATAGAACATGAGTTGAGAAAGCTTAATGTGTTCATTAACATCTCTGATTAAAGACAATTTAATTTCAAATGACCTTGTAATTGACTATTTGTGTGGTCCTCAGACTATCCTGGGTTGGAAGAGAGAGGAAGCACACTGAATCCCTGCTGTGTCTCCGCTTTCTCTTAACTTATTAAGCAGAGTGTTCTATTGCGAGGACTCCCTGAAATACTGTCTGACTTAGAAATAGATACAGTTCTTTTTGAGCAGGTGTTTTCTTGTTCCTAAGATCATTCCATCAAGAACACACCTGAACTTATGTTGATTTTCTAAAATAAATCTTGTTTAATGTCTATGTTAAATCTTCAAATCATACCGCTTACTTTAATGATATTAAACATCAATGTCCACCCTATGCTGAGATTATACAGGTAAAACACATAATGGAAAGTGGAATGGAGGCCTTTCTAGAAAGTTCTGGTCCAGTTCTTGTATGATTCCAGGAGAGAGGGAGTCTGAGGGTGGAAGTATGGAGGAAGGGAGCATGTCACAGTCACTCAGTATAAGAAATGTGGCTTAGAAATCCCCTCCGCAGGAAGGACTAACTGGCCTGCTTTTGATCTGGCAGAGGTGTTGCTCAGATTAAGCATGAAGCAAATATAAAATAAAGAATTAAAGTAAAGAAGCCAAACAAAACTTATGTGGAAAAGGTAACTTCTCAGTGTGTGAATTACCTCTGTTTGCTCCAAAAAGGTGTGGCTTCAAGTCTCACCTGACAATAAGTCATTCAGGGGGTCAGCGTTGTAGAGTCAGGAGAAAGCCGCTGAAGTAATTAAGACAATTTTCCAAACATTTCCTTTTTAAAGTGGAAGATCAGTTTTGAAGCTGTGTTAGAAACCAAACAATTGTCAACAGAACTTCTGCCTGTCATCTTTTCCAGAACAAACAACATGGACTTTTACAGTTACTGGGATTTACTAGGTAACAAGAGTATAAACTTGAGAAAAGGCAGTACCAACATAGGATTAACAGTGAGTTGAGCCTGTCAGACCATGAGTCTGCTGCAGCATTTCCAGGCCATCCAATTAGCACTGAAAGTTTTGATGGGCAGGGACACCTTAGGAAGACAGAGAAGAGGGAGGACATACAGGGCCATACGAGGGTGCTAGAGTTCCCAGGTGCAGAATTTCATGTCCATAGTTTCAGCTTGAAGCAATCTGTTGCTACGGATCAGCATTTTAGGTAACTTAATGTTCTTATTTATTCTATTACCTCTGTCACTTTTTTATTTTTAACAATAAAGATCTATAATCTAAAAAGAAAAGTTAAGCCTTGAGAAATTATGTTCCAATGAAGCCATCCCTAGGCTATCAGTGCACAGACCCATTGCCCTCCACAGGCTAGTTCTTGGAAGAAATGCTTAGATAAAAACCAATGTCATTTAGCAAAAGCGGAGGAGACAACACTTTGTGAGTGGCATATGTGTGCTGGGTTCCTGGATAAAAAGTGTTTTGGTGATTTGCTGTTAGTATCCTGATGCCCTTGATGAATCTATACAGAGAAATTCGGTTGTGGACCAAGAGGTGAGTGACCACCCTCTCAGCTGGACAGTCCAGTCTCTAGATCCTAGGTCCTGGAGCAAAATCCTGGGCCCTTCCCCAACTCATTCCAGCTGCACTAGCTAGCAGGCAAGACTCCTACAGACAGGCTACTCCATCCTTATCAGACCTTGTAATCTTCAATTCCCTCTCTGCTCCCAAATCCACCTCTGCCCTGAGACCTAAGTGGCTCCCTGTACACAGATAGAAACTGCAAAGAGTGTATCAAAAACATCCCCTGAGACACAGGCAGTGCCTGCAATGGTTGGATGAAAAGGCAAAGAAAGTGTCTGCATCAATTGGAGGAAGAGATGGGTAGATGCTAATGCAAGAATATATTCAACATCCTAAAGAGCATTGTGACCTTAGCAGAACCTAGTGGTCCTACAACAGGAAGACCTGAATAAACCAATGCAGAGGAACCAAAAGAAAATGACCTTAAAAACAACTTTTTGAAGATGTTAGAAACCCTTCAAAAGGAAATGAAAAGTTCCCTCAAAGAAACTGAGAAAAAGACAAATGAAAAATAGGGAGAAATCAATAAATCTTTGATAGAAAGCCAAGAAAAAACAAACAGGTGAAGGAAACAGTTCAAGACTTGAAAATTGAAATATAAGCAACAAAGAAAACACAAACCAAGGGGATTCTGGAAATGGAAAAAGTGGGTCCATGAACAGGAACTACAGATGTAAGCATAACCAACAGAATGCAAGAGATGGAGGAGGGAATCTCAGATATTGAAGATATGATAGAGTAAATAGATTCAATGGTCAAAGAAAACATTAAAGTCATCCAAGTCATAACACAAAATGTACAGGAAGTCTGGAACCAAACCTAAAAATACTAGGGTTAGAAGAAGGAAAACGGTTCCAGATTAAAGGCACAAAAACCATATTCAACAAAATCATAGAAGAAATCTTTACTAACCTAAAGAAAGAAATATGCCTATGAAGGTATAAGAGGCTTACAGAACACCAACTAGACTGCACCAAAAAATCCCCTTACTACATAGTAATCAAACACAAAACCATTGGAAACTAAATGGAGACTCTGAAAGCCAGATGGTCCTCGATAGACATTAACTGGGTGGTGGTGGCACATACCTTTAACCCCCAACCCTGGAGAGGCAGAAGCAGGCAGATCTCTGTGAGTTCGAGGCCTGCCTGATCTACAGAGGGAGTTCCAGGACAGGCACCAAAGCTATGTAGAGAAACGCTGTTTCAAAAAAAAAAAAATAAAAAACCGAGAGAGAGAGAGAGAGAGAGAGAGAGAGAGAGAGAGAGAGAGAGAGATAGATCAAGGATGCCAACTCAGATTATTATAGCCAATAAAACGTTCAAATTACCATAGATGGAGAAAACAAAACATTCCATGACACAAATAGGTTCAAAAATACCTATCCACAAATCCAGTCCTACAGAAAGCACTAGAATGAAAATCCAACCCAAGGAAGTTTGCTGTACCCATGAAACTACAGGCAGTAGACAATCCCACACCAGCAAATCCTAAAGAAGGGAACCACATACACATTACCACCCAAAATAATAGGGATTAACAATTATTGGTCATTAATATCACTTAACATCAGTGAACTCAACTCACCTATAAAAAGATACAGGGTATCACAATAGATACAAAAACAAGATCCATTCTTCTACTATATACAAGAACCACACTTCAACTTCAAAGACAGAAATTACCCCAGAGTAAAGGTTTGGGAAAAGACTTCCAATCAAATGGACCTAAGAAGCAAGCTGATGCAGCTATCCTAATATAGAACAAAATAGACTTCAAACTAAAGGTAATCAAAAGAGATGAAGAAGAATATTTCATATTCATCACAGCAAAAATTTATGAAGATAAATTCTCAGTCCTGAATATTTGTGCCTAAAATACAAGGGCCCCCATGTTTGTAAAAGAAACATTACTAAAGCTTAAATCACACACAAAACCCCACACACTAATAGTGGGAGACTTCAACACCACACTCTCACTAATGAACAGGGCTACTGGACAGAAAATCAACAGAGAAATAATGGAACTAACAGATATCATGACTCATGTGGGCTTAATAGACATCTTTAGAGCATTCTACTCAAAGACAACAAAATATGTCTTCTTAACTGGACCGTCTCTAAAATCAACCACACACTTGATCTCTATTATTGTTATTTTTCTTTTGTAATTTGTTTCCCCATAAAGTATATATTAAACTTCAGATTTTGTGCCATAAAGTGTTTGATGCATCCTTCGTCTTTGTAGATGAGGTATAAAGGGAGACACAGAACTTTTGTAAAACACGTGTGCCCTGCTATCAAGTAAGTCCTTGTTAATGGAAGAAGCTAGAGAGCCAGATTTGGTGTATGGGTTTTGCTTTGTTGTCTTTTGCTGAATACCATTATTGGTTATGTTTTTGTGAACACAGGATATCTCGTTACAAGTGATGGGTAGCTCAGAGATTCACCATGACCATTAGTAAAACTTAACAAGTAAGAGGCTTTATCAAATACTGGCCAGAACTATAGATACTGGCCAGGACCACATACTCTGAGGCTCAAGATGCTCATAGAATGGCTCTTATACCTTGTTAGTACAGAGCTTATAAAAGTAAAAAACCTACAAAGTTATAGAATTTTATGGGTTAAATTAGCTGAATTTTTATAACAAACATCGTGTAGACACATCAGTTATTTCCAGTAAGCAAGCAGTTTTTTACAAAAGCAAAGCAGCAGTTAGTTCCCAGGAATCACTGTCTTCTAAGAACAATGGAGGCAGTAAAATTTGTAATAATCAGCAGTTTATTAAGATTATTAGCTCATCTATTCTCTCATCTATCTTGGGCAAATTCACTGAAGGGGACATTTCACAACTAGCAGCTGAGAAGCAGCAGCAATTGTCTTATGGACTCTTTAAGTACAACAGTGGTCAGCTTTCA